TATACCTCACAGCATCTACTTCAGAGCCCTATGCATAGAAGATGTTCAATAGATAAGTTCTGACTTGAATGTACTGCCAAATTTGATCAGGATACTGCTATTTAAATGAGATGAAAGCAATGGGAAGGGGACCAAAAGTTGAAAGGAGCAGTGAGGGATGGGAGGGTAGGGTAGAGGATGAAAAAAGAATTAAGACATGTTATGTACATGTACTAATTCCCCACTATAAATGTAAGCATTATGTACTGCAAATATGCACTAACAAAATTTTTTTAAATCTCTAGAAAAGAAAACAAAGTCACAGCCACCTCTTTGGACTCTCACAAATACCAGGGAGATAATTTGGGGTGATGATCCTAACACTCCATATCCGAGGTCACATTCTTAAAGTACAGTGTCTATAATGGAATACAAATGGAATCCAAATATGTTGGTGTTGTGAACAAATAAACAAATAGAGTAATCTTGATTTAAATCATGAACCTATCTTTTCTTAAATGTGTTATCTAGACAGGCTGCATAAGACTCCTAAGGCTCACTTTTAAGATGGGATGGGAATAGTACCTACATTTGGGAGACTTCATCAATATTAAATCAAATGAGACATATAAAACAGTAAAATATACTATGAAAGGCACTGTAAAATATCTAGCAATAATAACATATTGCTATTATTGTTATGATTATCCAAATTGTTCACCTATATAAACATTATCTAACTTAAGTAATATCGGTTTACTTATAGAGATACATTGCTTCCTAACAATTCTGACAAGTGGCATGATTGTCTTTCACAAACTTTAAAAAAAGTAATAAATGTATAAATTAATAAACTTCCACAAATTAGGGAAGGACTTGACTCAAGTTGCACACCTTCTTTTAAAGAATGTGTGAATTCCGTGGGGGTGAGGTGTAAAAGCTGGTGTTTGAAAAATAAATTAAAAATAGATCTTTAAGAAATAAAAATCTGTGTCTTTTGGCATTGCTAAAATGCAGAAAACACATCTGCAGTATTTGGAATGAACAGCCAGATTGAAAGCCATGGCATCTAAATCCAGGCTGGATTTAGTTTTCCTAAAAGCCACCCACAGTTTCAAACACTATTTTCTAAATGCATATGCCCAGAAATTTGTTAACTCAAATATTAGAAATGATTTTTAAAATTATAGAGAAATTAGCTAGTCAGATGAGAATATTTAAGGCCCAGAGAGATCTTAAAATTGCCTGGAGATTTTTTTTCTTAGGTGGTACAGGAGAGCTCATTACATCCTTTGTTGTCAACATGGAAATTTTTGAATGAATGTTTTGGCACAAAAGCCAAGAGGACAGTGGCAGAATCAGCCTCCTTTTTAGACTTATTATTTGGTAAGGCAAATTCTGGGAAGTCAAATGCTCCTTCTCTGCTTGTTCAGAGGTAAGTAAATTGCTTCTGCAAGGGAGATCCAAGGCCTGACAAGACCTTTTCTTGCAGGCTTCATCCAGAAAGCTGGAATGTGTCAAAAAATTTTTTTAAAAGGAACAAAATAAAAACAAAATCACTAAGTTTCACATTAATACCATGCTTGTAATACAGCTGTGCGAATGGTTGAAAAGGAAATCTTCCTAGTTCTAAGACTAAACTCCACTGAGGAATGGTTATAGTATAAGTATAATGGCAAGATGTGGATATATGTGAGCATCATTGAAAAATAACTGGCATAATCCTAGAGAGGAAAGGGTGATCCTATCTGTAGATCTTCATTTCTACCTTTTTAATTCTCTCCCTTCCCCCATTTCTTTTTCTTCTTTTCAATGATATAGCTTTACTATTTCACATATATAAACCAGAATGAAGTGAAAATTTCTGAATTAGAACAGATGGCTGAAGACAGTTCTTCAAAATTAATTCCATGGGCTGTTAATAAGTGTTATCTGGGGAAAAAAAGTGCCTGGAAAATATTGTGTGAGTTAAATTTAAAAATTTCACTAAAATACTTGGTACTGCCTTTTAGTTGCTAATGTGCAGGTGAATTTTTAGAAGAGTTGCTCAAAATGTAATCTTAAGCACTTTTCTAACTTAGTTGATTTTTTTCCCTCACAAAAAATACTTTAGTATACTAGAGAACGAATAACCAAAAGGCAGTTTAACTGCACAACTTGCAAACTCCCAAAGTGCACCTAATCCCATAAAAGAGAAAACTGAGTTATTTGTTCCTTGAGTGGATTCTTCTTGGTTTCTCCAAAGACTGGTTCCTACCTAGGGAGAATCAGGAAATAGTTCTCAGCCAAAATACAAACCAGGCTTGTCATATGGGTAAGCGCTTTTATAAGAAAAGAACTATACATTGGAAAGGTGAGACTGGGAGAGGCCATAGAAAAACTTGTGCTATGCTCAATATTGAAAAAATTAAAATGAGGTTTCCTTGATTCTCAGTACAGAAAGAATGGAGAAAGTTGGAGTCAGTTTATCCCTTATCCCTCTCCTGCCTCTATCCCACCTCTAGTAGGCCCCCAAGGGATTCCTCAAAATGTGCAGGCCTTATGGAGTACAGTTAAAAATAACACCTTCTGGTGTGTACATGACTCCTTCATTTTCTAATTTGGAGAGGGAGGGGGTAAATTATTTTTTACCAGAATAATTACTGTTTGGAGAAAGTGGTGCTATTAAATAAGAAATTTTATTTTAATGAATTCTTTGATTTAACTAGCTGACTTTAGGCTTAGGAAGGCCAGGGAGAGGTGAATAACCATACACAAGAACCTAGAGGAGTGTATAGGGTTCCCAAGGTAGTCTGAGTGTAGGGGAACAAAGGTAACAAAATTAAAAAATAGGAAGAAGAGAAGATTTAATCACATGATGTAAGGCAGAGGTACAAAATGGTATATGTTATCCAGGAAGACATTTCTGAAATCCGATTAATTTTTAAATTATGCATACTACAGTGATTAGAGAACTTTCCTATGTCAGAGTTTTTCAAAAGTCTATAAAAACTATTTGGAAACTAAATCTAAAGCAAGTTTCATGTCTCAGAATAGAAAAAGGAAAGAACATGAACATGTGGGATAATTGACCCATAAAATGATGTAACCTGGTGACAGTGGAGCTCACACTATAATAAAAGAAATCTCAACATTAGCACAATGTCTTGTACTTGCACAATGTATAAAATGAAGGGTTGGCAACCTTGAGTAAATCTCAAGGAAGAGGGAGATTCTAGCTAATATCTGTATAACAGAAGGAACTGAGATTTTGTAAAGAAGAGCCTTGCACTGCAAGGACTTGCACTCACTACCTCAAAAGGCCAATAACCTTAATGAGTTGATTTATAGCCCTAATGATTAATTAGCCACATCTTCTTTGATGCCTTACTAGCAGTTTAAATTCAGCATGATCCTGATTGTATAGTCTGCATTTCTTCCCCAAGTCCCTGTGTCTGTTGACTGCTTCTGTGAATGTCTTTTTCATCCCACTTCTCAGTAAGAAACTTATCCTTACCTCTTTCTCCCATTCATATCACAAAGCTAACTAGTCATGAAATCAACCTAAGTTTTGCTTATTACCACCTTCTAAGCTTTCTCACTTCATCAGGTTAGCTTGCATTTTCTTGCTGGAGCCATTCTAAGCACCTCTTGGCTGTTTACTCTCTCTACTCCATCCATCTTCCAGGCTGCATGGATTATTATCTAAACTGCTGATCTGATTGGGTTACTCAACTGCTAAACATCATTATATAGCTCCCCATTGCTCATGGGATGAAGTTCTCTATAGCCTGGCTAAAAGATTTGTTGCAAATGTATTCTTCTGTCTTGCTACAAGTTACATCTATCATTCCTCACCCTGTACATCATACTCTAAGGCCACCCATACCATTTTCACTGTTAAATCTTTTCCCCTCCTTTTCTTGACTTTCCTCACAAAGATCCTGACTCTGTGCAAAATATCCATGCTTCCTACCATAATTCAAGCTATCAATAAAAGATAAAAATAAAACATCTGATAAAAATTTGTGTTTTCTCTTCACATGCATTTATATTGTTTAATATTTTAAATCAATAGAGTAAATAATATGCATTATTTTGCATGTTGTATCACACTCATGGGAAAGAGGTACAGAGATCTTTAGTAATTGCTCAGATTATACCTTGCCAGAAAACACTTCTCTCCATGACTGGCAGGGTTTGACCAATGGATTGCCTATTTTTTGGAGGGCAATACTTCCTAGTAAGGTAGCACAGTTAAAGTACAGGGCACAGGTTGTGACTTGAGAATGGAATCGAAGTGTGTTAGACTCCATTTTCTTGTATAAGGAACTTTAGGCAAAATATTGTACTTTTCTGATACTGTACATATTGTCTTACTTCCCAGGATTGTTGTGCATATTAAATGGCATTAGGCATGTAAAAAGACTTTGCATACAGTAGAGAACAGCTTTAAAATCTGTAAAGTACTACACAAGTGTGCTATAAGGAAAAAACTAAAACTAGAATAAAAATACGTGTGTTGTAGGGTTGATCCGTGTCCCACAAACATATGTTGAAGTCCTATCCCCATACCTGTGAGTAAGATATTACTTGGAGATAGGATCTCTGCAGATACAATCAAGTCTAGGATGAGGTCATTAGGGTGGACTGTAAGCCAGTATGATTGGTGCCCTTATAAAAAAGAAAAAGGAGACAAAGACACACAGGGAGAAGGCCATGTGAAGAAGAAAGAAGATAAGGAGTAATACGGGTTTAAGACAATATAGATCACCAGCTATCCCCAGAAACTAGGTAAGAGGCATAGTTCCACTTCAGAATCTTCAGAGGGAGCCAACTCTGATGACATGTTGATTTCAGACTTCCAGTCTCTATCAATATGAGATAATATACATCTATTCCTTTTAGACATTCAGTTTGTGGTACTTTATTAAGACAGCCCTAGGAAACTAATACACACAAGCATGAATTTTAACTCTATCATTTAGTAGATGTATGAATTTGAGTTAAACTATTTGACCTAATACTTTAAGGACACTTACCTTTCTGTGATTGTTTCTCTGAGGCCACTTGCCACACCTTTGACCACAGTGCTAGCTTTGGGGGTCAGCACCACCTGAGATATAAAAAATGAACCCTTCTTTCTTCTTTCAGTGATGGAGGCCTGAAGAAACTGGATCAGTTTTTCAGGGTCTGTGGTGTTGGCCCAGGGTGCTGGCATCATCTGCCCAGGCCAGAGAAAGGGTACTTCCAGAGCCACTGGGCTGTGGTAGAAGACTAGCACTTGATAGTCCTTCTCCCACAGGTACTTTAAACTAACTTCCTGGGCAAAAATTGCTGGGCACATTTTGTTTCCATAGATATCTTTCAGCATTTGGACCAGTTTTTCATGGTGATATTTCTGCATCCCATAAAAATGATTGAAGTCCAAGAATACCACCTCCTTATGGTGATCTGTGAGGAATGCATTGATCTCCTCAAGACCTTCATTGACTTTGGCACTGAACAAGCCATGTGCAAAATAAAGTTCATTGTCAGGATCTCTAGGCTTGGTGGAAATTCGAAGATCAAAATAACGGATTCCAGCTCCTAGTTGACCAGTGAAGTTCATTGTCTGCGTGGCCAACCATTTCCTCATCAGCTTCTTGGCTACAGTTCCAAATACAGAAACAAAATTCTGAACAGTTTCTGGCTGTTCAGGACCTACTGGAGAGGCTTCATCAATGTAGAAGCTGAAGGAATCATGCGACCCTAGAAGAATAACAAAGCATAATGTGGTTACTGCCCAGTCTTTCATCCTGTGTAACTTTTTTCCCTCTTGCAATACCCATAATTTTCCCTCAAATGAGCCAAAAGAAATATTGAGGAATATTTAGTTAATTCTGCTATCTTCATGGACCCATTTTATAATCTAGTATAGGACAGAGAGCACTTCAATCAATCAAATTGTTTGTAGAATAATATTTCTTTAGATCACTATTTTAAAATTCAAATAATCATATCCTCCTGTGAACCAAGAATTCAATGCACTTTCTAGGTTTGGATTTTGTACAGATGGCATGTGATCATTCATAAAATGAGATTTATAGGCACTCATTAGTTTCCTGATATTTTTTCTATAATCTCACCTTTTCCCTTCATTTTCAGTTGATTTTGGTCCTCTGTGGATCGCCTCAATGAATAACTTAAATTCAGGCAGGCAATCTATAGGAACTGTTACTTCATATACTTTATTTTTTTAAAAAAGTTACTTTTGATTTTTCTGATTTAAAAATTAACAAATGCTCATTATAAAAATACAGTATGAAAGAAATATGCAATGAAAAGCAGAATTTCTAGAAATAATACTGGAACATGGTTGGTTATACTCTTTGAAGTTTTATTTCTCTCTCATCTTAATATGTAATACAATTAAGACTTGTTTATTTTTTATTTTCTTTCATCACAAATTTATATTCATTACAGTAATTAACACTTTAGATGAGAAGCATATATCTTGAAAAGATTAGAAAATAGACGAAGTTAAAGTTAGTATTAGAACTAAGATAAAACATTTTGCAAAAATCAGAGGAAAGATTTGAAGCAGCTTTCACCATGTTGACACAAATAATTTTTTTGAGGTTATGTATAAAAAAGTCAATTTTCCACATGAAGCACTGAAATGCTGAGATATCTCTCATCTCTTTTCCACTGTTAGTGTCTATTGTCTTTGAATTCATGGACCATGGGAATACGCCATCAGATTTCATTCAGTGTGGAATCCTGTCTCATCTCTTTCCACTGAGAGCAGCTCCTCTGTTTGAAATCATGGAGAATGGAAACATCACCTCAGATTTCATTTTCCTAGCCTCTTCGACCACACCACAGCACACCAGATTCTCTTTGGGGTAATTGTAGCAGTTATGGTCACCTCCCTCTTTAGCAATGGCCTCATGATTCTCCTGATTCACCAGGAAGGACTTGTTTATTTAAAAAAAAAATGTACCTCATACACTTTGGAAAGCATAAGAAGTCAAGGGGATAGAAGAAAGGAGGAATAAGACAATAGGAGATCACAATGCTGATATATTTAACTTTATTCCAGATCTTATGCTTGAGCAATTGTGAATGTAGAAGAAACCAGGAACTTTAAAAATATTGAATAAACAATACATTTTTCTTTCAACTTAACAAAACTGACAGCATTTAAAAATTAAACTAGGGCCAGGGATTTAGCTCAGTGGTTTTGCCACCTGCTGCGCAAGCGCAAGGACCTGAGTTCAATCCCCAGTACCAAAAAAAAAAGTTAAACTAATAACTCTCATTCACAGATATTTCTTTCAACAGCAAAGTTCTCCTTGGATGTTGCTTTTGAATTTAGAAGAATTTCTTACTCAGAAGAATGAGGACTATTAATTAATTAATTTATTTATTTATTTTGGCAGTTATAAGTATTATCACTCCATAAATGTTGCAATGAACATGTGTATGATTTACCTGTAAGTGCAGTGTGCCACTTGAAATATAATTGGAATCCAATAAAGAAAAATTTTTTCAAGGTTGAGTTTTGTTTTTCAAGTCTTTTTTTAATTCTTGGGCATGACTTCCTGCATAGCTCAAATAAAATGAATATATTCTAGATCCTTCAAACATCAGACAGGGCAGATATACTTCAAATTCTGACATGAATCCATAAACAAACCTTGTCTTTTTATCTGTTAATATATCTATTGTTAGTTGTTATATCATTTGTTATTTCTATTGCCAGCCCTCAATCACTGGACCTAAGATGGAAGAGGAAAATTTTTCTTTCTAACACAATGATCAGGAAGCAACCCCAGCAGCTGAGGGCTTCAGTCCTATAACTGAAGGAAACACATTTCATCAACAACTAACAATTTGCAAAATGAGCCTTAGCTTCAAAAAAGATCACAGTTATGGCCAATACTTTGCATTCTGGTGAGATCTTGAACACAGGACTTAGCAAACTCATACTCATAGTCATGATTCATACAAATTGCTCTATAAATTTTAAGGTGACTATATTTGCGATAATTTTTGCAATAATACAAAATGCTTCTGTTTGATAAACTACATTTATTGATTTATTAAAGTACTTAACTACATCTGATATGAAGTGACATAAGCATTATAATATAATATTATATTTGGATCTTATGAGTAAATGGATACAATGATGAGATAATTACATCATTCTAATTTAAAATCCTCATTAATTGGAAATAAGTTAGCTTCTCTGCATGGAAAAACTAGATCTACTACTAATTCTTTTTTGCAAATGTTTGCTTCAGATATAGTGGTTGACCTCATGGTAAGCAATTTTTTCTGATTTTTTAAATTCATTCATCATCTGTTCATTCAAAGATCTATTAAGTACCTGTTATACCTACTTTTACTATGACATGCAAAAGACAAGCATTGTTCCTATCCTCATGGATTATAGCTTACTGTTCAATACACACAGGTAAATAATTACAGTACAATTTGGCAACAAGTTTTTAGGATGTGTTGGGGTAGAGAGCAGAAAATGTGTGATGATTATCAAGGGGTGTATAAAAATAATTTAAAAAGAACTAGGATAAATGCAAAAGAAGTCTTGCTCTTTGGACTAAATGATAAGGGGCTTAGGGAGTCATAAAAATAGTAGAAAATGAGCACATCAATGGGTGATTTTACCTTAATTTCTCACTACAGCCTAGTTGTATATTGTATCTTGCCCTTCAGTGGTTCTTAATTTGGTTAAGGAGACTGGGCATAGATGCAAAGAATGAATCCTTGTATCAGACAGCATTTCTTTATTCTTTCAACAGATATATATTGAATATCAACTTTGTTTAAGGAACTTAAAATTTGGCATTGTACAGTAAAAATGATCCATTTAGGCATAGAAAGAATATATTAAAACTTTCATTTTTATTTATATATTTATTTTAAAATAGGAAAATAAAGCTTTGGTAACATTTAGGATAGGTAATAACGCTGTTAGACCAAAGGTAGCTAAATACTACATTCAGTTGTCAGGGCTCAGAACACACTTCTTCAAGACATGGCACATTTGAAGTCACTAATTTTTTTCACCTTTCTGTGTGATAGCTGGCCATAAAGGAATTCTTTGACCTATCTCTCTCAAAAGTAGATCACAAGGTTCTCATGTGACAGATGTCCTGTCCCATATCCTGAGGAGAAATGTCTTATGAGTCACCAAAGAAAATCTGAACACACAGGCTTTGTTGTGTGCTCTTCCCTACTCCCCAGTTTTTTACCATTGCATCACACCACTTTTACCATTAGATCATACCACCAATCATGTTTTTCCACAGCTCTCAACTTTTCTTATTATATTCACTATAAAATTTACAGTTTTCCTGGGTTTTTGAGTATTCTGTTTCAAGAGTTTCCTTGTCATATGAAACTTTAGTTAAATAAGCCTGTTTTGCTTTCCTCTTGTTTATCTGTCATTGTTATAGGAGTATCAGCATGACTCCTGTGATGGGTGAGGAAAAGTTATTAATTTTTTTCTTCCTTGTGTAGTACTCAAGGTATCTTAAATAAATAGTGGGAATTCCATTGGCCTTATGGTATACTCATTGATCTCATTATATTTCATTATAGTTTGCTGTAAACTCAGGACTTATGAAATAAATTTTAGGATCATATAGTTTGATTATCCAAGTTCTCATAGAATAGATACATGGCTTAAAAATATCTTTTTAAAATAAAAACAATCTAGACTAAAGATAATTCAAATAAGTAAAAAAGAAAACTAAAATTAACACCTCTACTTTTATTATGAACTTGGCATTAGACACGTTATTGTTCTAAAATTTTAGCTAATAGAAAGATCACAAATATAAAATTACCAAGATTACCTACATGATAATTCAGTTATTACTATGAATTATGATCCTCACCCCAAGTATATATCATAGTTTGAAATACTACCTTATAGTAGAAAAATACTATATGTGAAACATTTAAAAATTACATGTATTTCATCTTTATTAGAATGGCAATACTTACATGATTTTATATAAAATATATTAGTATTTAAATATAGAAAAGCAAATTCATGAAAAAATATACATATCAAAGGTAACTTTTTTAACTAATAGAAAGGCTTCTGATTTAGTAAACTTGGAAGAGTGGACTGGACGAGATGAATGGGAGGGTCAGAAATATTGAAGAAATATTGAAGAAAGAAAAATCAAGGACAACCCTAGAGATTCCAAATACAAAGCAAGTCAGATACAAATGCATCTCTTGGACCCTCAGTGGCTCTTCCCATGTTGCAAGACATTGGACGGGAAAGATCTCACCACAACAACCACTATTTTTTTTTTTTACCAATTTCTCGTTTCTCATCTCTCTTTTGAGAAGTGAGATTTAGCCATGTGAAAGTAATTAAGCAGAGTTTCTCCTTCCTCTGATATAAAAACAGATTAGCAGATGTATAAGAAGATATATTTGAGTTTTGGAGCAAAAAAAATGTTCATTGAAAAACTACAAGGTAAATTATCCTGGGACTGAAGTCAAACATTCAAACGTAAGGACCCTCTGTGTGCATAGACAAAAATAACAGCTGCTGCTAAAGGATAAGTGTACTTCACATACATAAAGTGACCATTCTGTCATTCAACACTATGTCTGCTCTTGATGTTGATAATGATGAGAAATTTAAAAATTTTAAGGTCTCCCATAAAAAATGGAACTTGGGTAGTATAATTTTGGTGTGAAATTTGTGTTTCTTTTTA